ATGTACAATTGTTACAATCAATTTGGTTATACACACATTAAGTTACACACAGATAATAATAAACAAATAATAGAGTATTGGTCTGCTGGTGACTCAGACATTATCAAGTCTGATTCATTGCACACTTTCGGCCGTGGGCCACCAGGCAGGTTCTCAGATGACCAACCTGTAGGTGCTGGTTGCAGCTGAAGGTCACACGAGACTCAAATCTCACTGCCATAACTGTTGGCACTTTTAAAAGACTAAATATAAATCTGTCCACTGGGTGGCATCAGACACCATAACCGTATATAGTGAGAACATAACTAATCCTACAGTTTAATGTAAGAGGCGTTATGCAATCTGCCCAATGTCCCAGTTATTGTCATGAAGAGGAAATTGCGTATTTCTAGAACTGACTGGAGTTAATGATTGGATCAAGCTGGTTATGCAAGCAACATCCCAGACTGAGCTGAGCAGAATACATAGAGAGATTTGTTTTGAGTGAGGCCGGCTCTGCATGATCGGGTCAACAATGGTCATGGAAAATCTTGAGAACAACCTTGTTGGTTTGGTTTAGAAGTTAACAGTCATAATGGATGGATTATGTGAACAATGAGGATCAATTATTCACAAAGGAAACACCTCACAAATAACACAATAACAAGATACACTGGAAGGAGCCATAACTATGATATCTTTGGACATAAAGAAGTAAAGCAAAATGACATGGAGCAAAGTATAGTGTGCTTTTGAAACCTCAAAATTGCAGCACTTCAGTAAATGTACTTTGTTACATTCCATCCCTCTCCAACAGTAGGATATATTATTTCTACAGTAATTGCCATTCATAATTCACACATCTGAATAAACATGATGTAACTTTCTGCCCCAATAGCCAATACCATAAAGCACTGTGATGACCTGGTTTCCTGCTGAAACCTGATCCTCTTACAGGATTGTCCCTCCTCTCAGTGGAGTCACTTCCTCAACTCTCCACTGTACTCGCAGTTGGTGTTACGTGTGTAGTACCCGCCTTTTGCTCTTCGATCGCTCTGCTGTGTTTTTCTCTTCTGGAATGTACCAGACTGCCCCTGAAGGGGTTGCAAGATGAAGGAAAGTACTGGAAAGAGGCCAAGAAAAGGGGGAAGGAGCTCAGGCCGCAGCCAATCAGACTGGAGCGTGTCCAGCTCTGTCAGTGTGTAAACAGCAGTGTATGCCCTGTTGTTTTGATGAAACAGTGTGATTATTTGCACAGAGTGAAGGGTTTGGGAGATAATGTGACTCGGAAAATGTTCAAGCACACACCCTAACGGTTTTGTGTCTTGTTAGTTGTTCACCACGTGTAAAGCTGTAGCTAGTTTAGGAAGGAAAGGGATCATAACATTTAGGGGATTTTTCACGCTGAAGAGGATGCAGTTTAACAGGCCAAACAATAAATTAAGAAAACTGAAAATAAACCCTGAAAGAAATAGTTGGTTGCGTCCCTGATTGTCACAATGATCCCATAAAGACACACTAAAATGTCACATGTTTACATAACAAACTAAAACATTTCCATGTCTATGTCATCTTACACCATTGGTTTTTAAAAAGAGCGAACATGTGATGATCTATAACATGTACCCACTTAAACTTTATTAGACATTCATAAATTAAAAATAGTGACAACCACTGCAGCCCAGCCCCAAAAGATTATTGAAATAACATTTCAGCTGTGTGTTGACAAGTTGCAGACTGTATTTGTTGATGTATTATCCAATCTGCATGGAGATTCTAGGAATTTTAAACATGACTGTTTTCAAAATGCTTTGTTATGTTATGTAACAAGAGCACATTCAGATTTTTTTTAAAAGAAGGTGTTCCCGGGTACCAAGTCTAAACAAAACCAATGCTGTTGCCAAATGCTTGGTAACTCTTTCCGTGTTTAAGGAGTTTGGCTAAATATTGGATTCATATCAGTGCTCCAGTATGGCTTCTTTCCAACGTAATACATAGAAGGTATAGATTTTCCCAACCAGATATGTTTGGCTTTCCAAACTGCAGGGTACTTGTTTCTAGGAAGTTTGCTCTGGGAGTTTCCTTGGAAAGGGTATGACCAGCACCTCCCACTGGAGAAAAGTATGCAACATATTGCAACCGTGTACTGTAAGACATGGCTGTTTGCGCCTTCTAGCACATTATGTAATGTTTGACAGTTTTATTTGGCGTTCCAAGGCAGGTGCTAATAATGAATAGATTTAAGATCAACAACATTCTACGTCACTTGCACAGTCACGTGTATGTATAATGTAGTACTTTTTGTAATAGATACAAGATTGTTCTTGCAAATAATCCTGCTGGCTCAAACTAATGTTCATTTCAACATGTCAACCAAAATTATTTCTATCCACCAACAAAGCTGTATCAGTGTAGGTTTTTACTATGACATGGATGTATGTATGTGTAAGGTTGGACTTTATACAGAGGATATCAGCATTTAGGGGTCTTATTAGTACCTTTCATTATGTTTTTTAATTCTTACTAAGTAGCTTTAAGGTTTCCGACAGTGTCATACATACATTATGTTTTAATACAGTGCACACTCAGTATATTTGAGAACATAGTTTTGTAAAATTGAAAATGATGCAGATGTACACGTACTTGCAAAAATACCTGCAGCTTCAACTCTATACAGTATCAAGACTAACCTCTGTACAAGGACAACAACAGAAACACACCCCTGTAGAATTTCAAACTGAAATAACCTCTGCATGAAAACAGAGCCCCCCTCCTCCTGAGTATCTCCTGATGAGGGCCATTCATGTCAGAAATGAGCTTGTTGAACCCAGAAGATATTTATGATGGCCCATCCCACTTCCTTATGACCTTAGTGACACAGGCCCGCCCCCTCTTACTTCAATGTGTGATCTTGTTTTCCTGCTAACCCTGCGGCTACACCATGTGCTCCTGGCTAGGGATAGTCAGCCAACATCTTGCGTAATGTTTGCTACCATTGAGCTTATGTGTGAGGGATAGAAGGTGAAAGGAGGAGAAGAGGCAGAAAGCCTCCGGTCACAAGACTGAAAACACCTTTGATAAACAATAAATGAATATGTCTGTGGACAAGGGATTAAATGCATTATGAAAGAGGACATACTGTATAGTCTGCTAACAAAGCAATTGGTACAATAAAGCACTAACATTTCTTGGCACATACTGTAATTCAACATGTGGTCTGTTTTTATTCTAAACTTAATTGAGGAGGGTTCATGTCAAAGAATAATGTAAAATTAGATAACAAAGGGGTTTATAATCCCTCTCCTGTGCCTCTGTCTAAATAACATTTATTTTCATCTCTGGAAATACTGTATGCTTGTCATGTATGTGGCAATACTGCTTTGGCATATCACATTAAGCAGATGGGTTTTTTCATCAGAGTTCTTGGATTTCTTTCATTATCACAACTGTGATACAGCGTCTGCACCCTCTTCAAAACAGCCTGCTCATCAGGCTACAACATGTGCCATCTATGCAGTGTCACAAGTAAAACAAATGTGTCAAGGGCTGCAACTGGCCACTGTGCCCACCTCCTTTGTCAATAACCAATGCTAAAATATTTTCATTAATTTACATTTAAAAATTAAGAAAATGAAAGTATCAAAACTGTTTAATTTCCCAAAGCAATACCCTTAAAATCTATTAATGGTTGGATTTATATCCAAATATTGGAGATATGTTGTAAGTGTATCCAGTTGTGGAAAGTAACAAAGTGCATTTAATCAAATGCTTTGCACAGTTTGCAAATATCCTCTCTGTGGAACCAATGAAGGAATTCTTATTCTGAGGTACATTCCAACCTGACATTAAACAAAAAATACAAATGTGGCTTTACTTTAAGCAGCTACATCAAAAATGCATACACAGACAGTCATCTGCAATAACTTGCCAGTATTATAATAAAACAACTGACAGGAGTCACTGATTCTGCCTGCATTATGAGTATTTGAACACCTGACTCTTTCTCTAGATTGCATGAGGGTATGTTTGTTAATGTGATACTGAAAGGCCACAGCAGCTGATGTCATGCCACAGCCCCAGTCTGAGTGACTCAGATGGGGATTTCTTTGAACACCCATCTGGTCATGGCCATTCACCACTGGGTGTGAGCATAGTGTTTAGGGTGCTATAAATGTTTTTATCTTTTAAAAACGTTACATTTCTGAGACACACAAAAAGGCAGACATGTTCAACAATTGTATTTTTGCTGCTTTTTTAATCTTTTTGTTCTTAACTGTATTTGATTTAAATGTGGGTTTAAAGTAGACCAAGTAGCTAAAATAATGTCTATTTTATTTTCCATATTATTTTGATGTACATTTAACGAAATGCATTTCAAGGGGGTTTATCCTCTCAAAAATGCAAAATACTGTTTATGTTGTGGTCTGTTTGTTTTTATATCATTAACACAAACAGCACAACGCTGACAAAGTGTTCTTGTGTGTGCTTTATCCTATTTTGAATAGGCCTTGATGTCCAATAATGTAAACTGGTGTACATATTGCATCAGTGGCGTCCCTCTCCACCTCCATTTAGATCTCTTTCTGCAGATCAGCCGTAGGTCTCAGTGATGACGGTCAGTGTTGATGGGCACGCCAAGTACGGCACGTACTCGCCGTTTAGCTCCTCCATACCATGCTCCATACATGCGATGGTGGGCCTCTAGAACAAAAAACAGCACATTGGCTGGATTCCATTTCGTGTTTCACAACTTTGGTACTTACCATTTTCCTGAAATGTGTTCAGATGTTCACCTGGGTCGACATTGAACTATCTATGTGACAAACTTGATTGAATAATGTATTTTTTACGTATTTTGCACCATGCTGAGCAGCTATTATTAGCTTGAGACGAGGTGAAGGTGTTACAGCCATACCAAATAGTATCAAGCATCCCGTCTGTTGGTGCAGTCCTGAGGAGGGAGGAGACAAGGAGGAGTCAGCGGGGAGGTTATAAAACCACCTACGCAGTGGTTCTTTCACCACCTTCCAAGCACTCACTATCCGGCGATATCTCCCTTGACCGTCCTTTGCGGCTATTGAAGCAGTAGGTCAGACAACGACGCTAACACTGGAGCTGTAAAATCAACTGCGGGGTGAGTAAACAAAGTAGCTCATGATAGCATTTATTTATCTGAGCTTTTAGTTTTTTTAATTCGACCGTTTTCACCGTTAGGCCATTAACTGTCGCTAACCGTTGTTGTCTGAAGTTAAATGTACATCTGTCCGTTAGTGTTAATTTTAGCTAAACGTCACCCTCGCTGCAGCAACCTCTACCGTTAACTGAAAACAGTGGTGCTTTCCGACATATTTGTTCATCTTACCAAAACGTAGATATTGTAATGACGTATGTCTTAAATTGGCCTTTTAAACGGCTGTAACCAACCTTACAGCTAACGTGAAGTGGGTGGCGCTGCAGTTGGCTATCACTGTTGTTGTTGCATTGTTTGTATTACCCCTTGAACACGTGAAGGATATTAGCTAACGTCGGTATACGGATTCATATTCTTCTAAAGTTTGTTAAACGTAGCTTATTCTAGCTATAAGTAAGCGATTTGTTGTTGTAATATGGGTTGTAACGCGGTGTTTTGTATTGTCCACAGGGCTCCCGTTCAAAGCGCCGCATCAAGCTGACCAGCTTGCGCAGTGAAATCACTTGCGACTCTCTCTGAAACGATATTTCTGTTTTGGAGAAGTGCAAATTGATATCCCATTAAAAACCACTGCCGCCGCCACCAAAAATCCAAAATTGAAGCAAAAATGGTTCAAAATAAGATCACCGAAATCACTGGGTTCCATCGCTCTTTCAAGGTGAGTTTGAGGTTTGTTCAGGGGGAAATGCAGATCTACTATCATCATGCTTTTTGGGAAGACTCTATAATCAGAGAGCAGATTTGTCAGCTTGTATGAGAGGACCTCACATCGCTATATATAAACACATCTGTTACCCACCCACTTCTAATGTCTGTCTATGTGGTCTGGTGCACGTGTAGGTTAAAGAACTGTCAAGATATGTGGCCCTTTTGCACAATTAGCAAGATTGTTATTTGATCATTTTAGCTGACTTGAGGTTAGAAATCAAATGTTCTTGATTGTAAGTGTCCACCAATCAGCTGTTTTCCTGTTTTGAATCTACTTTATGGTTTTACACGAGATAACAAAGCCTCTTATCACTAACATTTGACCCTCTCAGCTAAATAGCTCCTTGATAAGATTGCATACCTTAACAAGCACATGTTTATTCTTCTCTAGGGCCAAAATCCATTTGAATCTGACGGCTTCACTAAAAATGGATCCCTTATTCATTCGTCCTTTAATTTTGATTCCTCCCCAAGACATGGTGAGTATTCAGTGCTTTAGAGCTGTTATTTTTGCAGAGTTCTAACAATGTAATCCTTATTTATTTAGTTGCACCTAGTTCGTACATTATGCCTGGATTCTCCAATTAAGCGTTCTCACTTTGAACAATAGCACTCTTGATTTATTCTCCCTATGTGCTTTCTTGGAATTTGTTTAGCTTGTTTCTTTCCTAGCAAATTATAATTTAGGCACTCTTATTTTGACAGACATAACTTCCAGCCATCCTATTGACATCCCCGATGCCAAGAAGAGAAACAAGAAGAAAAAGCGTTGCCGGGCAACTGACAGTTTCTCAGGGAGATTTGAAGGTAAAAGCCTTTTTTGTCCAGAATTATAATTTTAATAGAAAAACTCTGCATTAAACATTGATTTGTGCATATATTTTTTTGTTAGTTTGTAAAATGTATTGTTTTCTTGACATGTGCCACAGATGTCTACAGACTGCATGAAGAGTTACTAGGAGAGGGTGCTTATGCCAGAGTGCAAACATGCTTCAACCTCATCACCAACAAGGAGTATGCCGTCAAGGTAAGAAGGCAACAATTCTTACACACTTAATGGATGACTATGCATCGCCTTGAATTTCTGCAAGTCAGTGCCCCTGTATCACACGTCTGTGAATGTCGTAGTTGCCACATAACACATGCCTGTTATCTGTGAGGTCCAACGTTTAGTGTCAATATAAAGACGTTACATTTCTAGGGCGGCACTAGTTTACTACTTTATGAACTTTAGAGATGTCGGTTGAAGAATGAAATGCCTTGGCACACAAACAAGTCCTGAGCCTTTTCATGCTTTTTGAAGAGCTATATGTAAGGAAACTGGAAAAAACATTGTGTATGGGTTCCTCCTTTTCACTGGGCATTCTTTAGAAAAAAAATGTCTAAAGTTTTGATCCTGGCGTGAGTTTTTTATTTTCAGCTCTCTATAGTGGATGTCTGCAGGTGTCTGTCTGTGTCTGTATTGTGCTACTGCTGCGCTTTTATTTTCTTCCTCCGAGTGTGCAACACTAGCTGCTGTTAGACACATCCCCTCACTGTTTTTACAGATGGTCAGCCTATCACAGAGCTCGTAGGAATACACCCACCCCTTTTATTTTCTCTTATTGCCTACAGAGGACGCTCGTTGGAGGACACAGTGTACTCGTAACAGTGCCAAAACAAAACCCACATAGAGGAAGGAGGGGGGGTGAGGGTTGTGACCCATGATGTTTACACTGCTTTGTTCTCCCTTTTACTCGCTACAGTTTTACTTTTTTATTTTCTTCGAAATTGGGTGTAGACTTGTGGATACATGTCTTGACTTCCCTTTTGTTGTGCCTTTTATGTGTAATGCACATTTCCTCAATTTGGGAACAAAACATTGTGAAAGATGTTTCTTTGCTGAACTCTTTAAAAGTGATCCGAAGGCTTGTTTTTCTTTTTGTACATTCTTGAATCTTAACCCACTAACTCCATTAGGACATTTGATGACAACACTTAGCTATTTTTTTTTAAATTGTTATTCTTATTTGCACTTTAATTTTGTTAATGTGTTTGATAAAGGTGTTGTTGATATGTCCCCATGGAGCAAGTGTCCATATCATACCAGTTAATATTTCAGAGGATTCGGGGCACAACTTTTCATGTGACCATGTGCCGCGTTACGCTGGTTTGGTAGATCCCTTGGGCCTTTGTAGTTGTGGGGGAGGAGGCACAAGGGTTGGAGGTCATTTAAGAGTCGGAGGGGGCTCCTGCCAGATGTCCTGTCTCACCCCAGTCTGGAGAGGGAGGGGAGAATTGCATGTTTGGGCTGCTTGTGTTGCAATTGCAACAAAAGCCACTGAGCACCAAGGGCTAACTTGCAACTCTACTTAGTAGGGCCTTGTTTTGTCAATCATTGTTGTCATTCTGATCTGTTATATGGGTAAACAACCATAAATCTCTAATACCCGTCCGCCTTATCACGATGATAATGCATTTGTCAGCTCTGTTTTGCATTGTTGTTTTATCTGCAACTCATTATCAGGGTGCAAGGTTTGTGTAGTGGTCAGGAGAATGGGGGTTGTTTGTGCTGCTGACTCAGATGGGAACAGTACAGAGGCTTTGGAACGCTCACAGGCCCTTGTCTTTCTATTAATCCTAGACACACACACTGTAACTCTGGCCCCACTGCGCTTCAATAGCAGCTGTAATCCAGCCACCAGGAAGAGAAACATGCACAGCCTCCCGAGCAGACAATAACCAACCTGGGCTGGAAAATTCAGGCCTTTTGCTAGTTGTCAGCAGTATGTCTGTCTCTCTTGGCATGACATCGCTCGGCTGGCGTTGGCCCCTCGGTGGATTAGTTCCAGGCAGCACAAAGCTAGATTAAGCAAAGAATTGTTGTTTATTGTAAACAGGTTTGGAATAACCCATGGGGTGTTTCAAAGAACGCAATCAGCTCCTTAAGAGTGCTTAAGATTTAAATATGGGTCACACATGAAATGCTAAATATAGACATGCCGACTTGTTAAATTCTCATTCAGATGTCTCTGCTTCTGCAGGCAGCATGGAAAGTAGGTTAAACTATCTTTACAACGGTGTCACAGGTTGGGAGAGGGGGAGGAAAGCTGGAGAATTCTGGTCTGGGAGAAACATTTGTTCTAGCTCTGTATATGGTATACATAATCTGTGCTATACATTGATTTTAAAACTGGTTTGTGGCAGCCACTGTTTATTTGTATTATGAGTCATTAGATACTAGAATACACTAGAATTGTCTTTTATCATTCTCCTGTGGAAAACATAGATGTTGAATTATCATTTTCTATTTCAGATCATTGAGAAGAGACCGGGTCACAGCCGCAGCCGAGTCTTTCGAGAGGTGGAGATGCTCTATCAGTGCCAGGGACACAGGTAATGGCATGAGCAGCTGATGAATGTACCAAAGACTGACTGACCATTTCATTCTGTTGGAGCCCCTCACTGCTCTTCCTCCATAGTGCAGAAATCACTTTAAATGTTTGCAAGAATAGATGCCTCTTTTACAACTTGCTCATGGTGAACCTTTTTTTTTTTTTTTAGTAACATCCTGGAGCTGGTAGAGTTCTTTGAAGAGGAAGATAAATTCTACCTGGTGTTTGAAAAGCTAAGAGGAGGTAAGTGAATTCAAACCGTTTCAGGATGCCTGCATCAGAACGTTGTTTATTTTTAAACATTCCTGTAATGCATGTGTTTCACTGTAGCCAGTTGTTTATCGGTGTTTGGAAGAACTTTTATAATATTTTCTTGTAAATGGAGCTGCTGTACTCAACTTTTTGCTCTTTAATAGGCTCCATCTTGGCACACATTCACAAACGACGATACTTCAGCGAACAGGAAGCCAGTGTTGTCGTGCAGGAAATCGCCAGTGCTCTGGATTTCCTGCATAACAAAGGTGAGACCACTCATACAAAATAGAATTGTATAACTCATGATCACCAAAAAAGCCCAACTGTGAACATTTGTTTAGAACTGCAGAAACTGAACAGATTTGCCCTAACCTCTTTCAAACTGGCACTGGCAAAAAAATAGAATAGGGTGCTTTCTGCATTAAGTTATTCTAACATGGTGGCCTGATATTAAGAATATTACTGATTCCTTCCCTGTTCATTTTTTTCTAGGAATGGCACATAGAGACCTCAAACCTGAAAACATCCTCTGCAAGAGTGCAGACAAGGTGAGTTTACCACATGCGTTCCAGCCCAATCAGTTGAAAGGACAACACCTTGATATAAACTGTTATAATGTGCTCTGCTTATCAAAATGTGATTAATGTTAAGGTTTCTAAATCGGTCTCTCTTTGTCAGATTTCCCCAGTCAAGATCTGTGACTTTGACCTGGGCAGTGGTATCAAGCTGAACAGCGACAGCTCGCCCATCTCCACCCCTGAGCTCCTCACTCCTGTAAGTCCTCCTTCATATTGTTCTACTGTTGTTTGCCAAACAGTTAGGACTGCATTTATTCAATGGGAATAGGAGAGTACCATTGACAAGAAATAGTGTGTGTGTGTGTCACAATCCTTAGTGGAGTTAGCTGCAGGGCAGCTCACTGATAGGAGAGATAAAGTGTTGTGTTTTGAGGTTAAGGCAGTTCAGTGTTGGACAGTTTCTGTGCAATGACAGGGATTGTTTCCTGTATGTCACAATCGGGCAGCGTTTACCCCCTGAACTATCAGTAACACTTGGATAGATAGCCCTCAATTTAATGTCAACGGCCTGTTGCTTATCATTCTCAAATATTGAGGCCTGTGTGTTTGGGAGTTATGATTGTTCAACTCTTCTGGTGTTGTCGCAGCACTAAGAAAGTCCTCTGAACACTGCCCAGAAATCCCTTGCAACCTCAAAGGGGGGGGGG